AAAGCAGCTTATGCGTCCCACTGGTACGACTATTCACTCAACTTGAGAAAATATATTTCGATGACTATCGGTTATTCTCAAATCGAATTTAATATGATGGCTCTTGGATTTGTGCACTGCAACATGGAAAGCTTCAAAAAGGTAATTTTTGACTGTTTTTATCAATGTCGTCTTTAGATGGCCAAGCAAGGTAATACATATAAGCACATTCTTTTTTTTTCTCTCATCTAGATGGTCAACACGGCTATTTCCTATTTCATGGTTTTCCGATCCCATGCGTAATTTATTTCCTTGATATGATAATGAAAACTATTATAATCGTACTGAAGCAGGTAGCATTGAAAACGAACGAAGACTCAGTTTAGTTCATGCAAATCGGAACATTTTTTGCCTTTAAACCAATAAATCTGTTTGTGTGAATTGATATAAATGTAAAATGGAACAAGCAATGACCGCAGTTTACGCTTTTATGTTGCAATAAATTAAAATGAAGACACAATCAATAAAAACCACTTAATTGCTCAAAATCAATTAACATTTTCTGATGACATCACGAATAAAACAATATGATTGCTGTTGAAATAAATCATTCATATAATTCCATTTTCAAAGCGACATCAAATTGATGCGCTTTGTGTGGAAACGATTCCATATCGTGATAGTTAATACATTTGTAAACCGGCAATAATCTTGTCGTCCAAAGAGACGTTCTGAGAGTGTATTATTTCTCCATTCAGGAATTTTCATTCCGATCCATAGACATTCAGTCGCTAACGTCATTGCACTAAAACCATTTCACATATGAAGCTGTGGGAATGAAAATGGCAATACAGGAATAAACATTCTGAAACGCATCAAGAAAAAAAATTCGCAAAAATGAATCATGAGTTCTGGATATGAAAAAGTGAAACATGAATTTACATGGGCAGCATAGGAGGTTCATGGTTCACTTTTGCGTATTCAGAACTCATGATTCACTTTTGCGAATTTTTTTTCTTGATGCGTTTCAGAATGTTTATTCCTGTATTGCCATTTTCATTCTCACAGCCTCATATGAATTGAATTGCCAGCAACTATTTCTCAATAATAATAAGCAATAACGTCATAACACTTGTTCATTTTTTCCGTTCTCCCTTTCTACCTCTCTTCTCTCTGTTCCGACTCTAGCTGCGGCGCTTTTCTCCACTTCACAACAAGTTCTTTTTCTATGTCAACCAGCTTGTTTCGTATGGTATGTCTATATCTTCCTTTTCAATTTATCTAATGCGCAGTTCGATTGCACAGAGAATGAATGGCACATAAAAACCCTTATTGCACGTTGGAGCGTTCGATGTGTTCCATTTTAGCTCAAGTGGGTCCACTCCTTCGCATCGTTTCGATCTTTTTCCGTTTTTTCCACTGAGTTTTCAGTTCGTTATCATGATTTGTCGCTTATTGTACGCATGAGAAATGCAAAAATGGCAAAGGACTTGATCCCAACTCTATTAGTCTGCTGATATTTTATGTTCAAACTCAAACAGTATCGATTTCATATTAAATGTTTTATTAATCACCATTCCACACATTTTCATCGTTGTTTGCAATTTTTCTTTCTTGTCCAATGGCAGAAATTGTTTGAAACAAAAATCTTGATTTTGATCAAAAGTGAAAAGAAGATATTTCATCGTCATCAATAATGCAAAGTGTATTATCCAAGTCAAGCACTTTATTGCCACACGCACATACACACAAAGAGACAGACACACGGGCTAAGAAGAAAGGGATAAGCGAAAAAGACACATTTTACTTCACCGATTGGAACAGAGAAAAACCGAATGTCATTCAATGTTGTACAGTATCCGATATACACAAATGATAGAACATGTAATGTACTCGTCCAATATCAAAATTACGAAATCAATTGCCATAATCCTTGGTTCCTCGTTCATTCTTCTCGTTAGCGTTTTCTTTTTGGTTGCTTTGCGATTTTCTTTTCGCTCCGTCAACATGACATGTTCTCGAGCCTTCTTGTTTAGAATACAATATAATAAAAGCATGAACCACTTGCACATGTAAGATGATAAGTGGCTCAACGAGAAACGAGTACCATTTTCAAGTGATTTCTTTTATTACGGCGGCTTTTACATGAATCCGTTCATATTCGTCGATATGTTTGTGTGTTTGTGTTTGTGTATGCGTTTATATATGTCATCATTTGAAATGGCTTCAACTAGCCGAACATGATAGCTAAAAATCGATTTCTTCCGCTCTTTCTTTCTCCAAAAATAACAACGGCTAAAGTACTCGAAATACAAATTGAAGCTACGAAAATATTTGGTTTGACAATAAGTGATTGTAATAGCAAACCAACCAAACAAACGTAATAACAGCACACATTTTTTTTGATTGGTCACGATCAATACATTTTTTCCCCTTCACACACATAACACAAAACGACCGGGATGATAGTGTGTCGTACCACCATAAACTGAGGTTTTTTTTATGGCTATTGTTGTTGTTCAGTTGCGGTTCATAAATATAAGATATATAGAACAAATGTGAATTTATTTGGTGCGATGTTCTTTTTTTCGTTCATAACGCATTCAACACATAATGTTACTCTATTGCAATTCCATATTTTTCTATTTGTATATTTCTATCAGTTACAATTTTTTTTTTCGTGTTTGGAAATTTATCGAAATAAAGCCAATTTATGAATAAAATTCCGCTTGAAGAATTTTGATCGGTTAAACCATATTTTTACAGTGTAAAATTTACACTATATAACGTACAGTGGCGCAATTTAAAAAACTTCATTTTAAAATACGAAAGTTGAATATTTTTTCCATGGTTGATCAGACATCATCAGTGGATTTCAAAATTAAAATTGCCCATATTTAAATTGGTTAATACTAGCAATTTTGACTGAATTAATGTTCTGATTCTCAGAGTTATTCGAATGGAGTTTATTAAAATTTTAAAACAAAAAGTTGAGCCCATTTGATTGATTTGACGTTTCAGAATATTAATCATTTCCAGGGGTCATTTAATGGCCTATTGAAAGAGGTGAGTATTCAATACATTTTTCTTCAAATCACATGCTATTCTCTCTTATTTAAAATAAACAAAGCCATGAAATTTTCGTTGTTGAAAAAACAGAGATAAAAGAATAAAAAATTCCATCATTACCGGCAAAAAAAGTGAGATAATGAATTTGTTATTCCAGCACGTGAACTTTTCAGTTTATTTTCCGCAATTATGGTTGTGATTTGTTTCTCGTTTCTCATTTCGTACAATTTCGAACAAGTCGTGGCTTCAATACATTTAATGCGCATTAGAGGTTTTTTTTAGCACTTTTCAATGATGGCATTTTTTTCTGCTCATCTCGCTCGTATTGTGAGCAGTGCATTGTTATCTCTGCTTGCAGTATGTACGGTTAATGAGTTTCATTTGTTCATTATTCAGTATTATTCGCCGTCGGTTACAATGGCATTGGAGTAAAGTATGTGTGATGAATGTGAACTGCTGAGATGGTGCATTTTTTTTCTGCTCCTTCTCTCTCTCTCTCTCTCTCTCTCTCTCTCTCTCTCTCTCTCTCTCTCTCTCTCTCTCTCTTTCTCTTTCTCTCTCTACACACATCAACTTTAAATAAGTAGAGATACGGTTTGCGCCGCATATATGTGAGCATGTGTGAATACGTTGAATATGTGAAGTGAATTATCCCATGGAACGCGCGCGCAAGCCAACTCAATGGATGACACAGCTATACATAAATTATGTGTGTTGAGTTCTGCGTGTTTTGTGTTTTTGTGTGCATGGGTATGTGTGTTCATCTTTCCTGTCTCTCACTCTTCATTACTATCTATTATCCCTACGGTTAGAATAATTTTACCACATTGTTTCCATTTACATTTTAAATGCTTCTATAAATGCGTTAAACGATTAATACATTTAGTGAGCATGACCAGTAATGAAAACATTGTAATGTATTTGTCTCTTTCTCTCTGTGTGTGTACAATGTACATGGCGATCTGGGAGCCTTGTATATATGAAAAATTGCCAAGCAATAAATTGTCTATTTGTACGCTTTGTTTCGGAAAAGTTTTTCCTGTTCTCTTGTTCTCATCGTACTCTTTGGTCGTTGTGCTGTCAATTAATCTTAGCGAACGGGTTGAGTTTCGATGTAGGATCGACTTTAAATTAACCACAAAAAATGCTATTTTTCACTTCATACACGATAGATAACGTGTTGAATTACTTTTTAAACGAAATATAGCGCAGAAATGGATGATTGGTTGGAGAGAGCTGCAATTTTGCACGTTGAATGACACACATACATGCACACCCAACCGCTAATATTGTTCTTCGCCGGTTATCTGAAGAGCGAGAGAGAGAAGAAAAAAAAATTGCACAATGATCATATGAGGATGCAGTTTGACGTGAATGCATGTGATTTATTACGCTGCTCGCCACATGTTGACAGTGAGGGAAACATATTGCTGGCAGGTTTTTTTTCTCAGTTGCCTTCTCTATCCCACTCGTTGTTCAATCGTTGACATTCCCTCAATTTATCGTTCGTTATCGATCCTAATTGCAAAAGCGTATACATACGGGTGCAGCAGCACACATTCATCCATGCCCGTCGCATATTACAACCTCTTGGCAAATGACACAAAGAAAACCATCAACAAACTTTCTACTAGATGCACTTATACTCACTCCATCGGGGCTCACTTCACATCAAGTGTTGTAAAAATAAATTGCGTTTCCATATTTAATGATGATTTGCAAGTGGTTATGTTTGACACGCTAATTTTCGGATAATCCGCAATGAATCGCATCGAATACAACATCATTTGCTCGTTGTCAATTGCACGTTAGCGGGTTTTTCGAACGTTCCTGTCCGCAGCCACAATGATTATCGTCTCATTCACAACCTCGCATACAATGCACACGACACAAATTCACACACAGCCAACGGATCGAATTGTCATTGTGATTTGTTGGGAGGGCGCTGTTCGCGTTGAACGGTATACGGATGAACAGAACAGTGAACACACCGAACATTAGCACCGGTCAACATTTGCCGTCGACATTTGATCTGCTCGCTCTCTCTCTCTCTCTCGTTAAGCAAATTGAACGACGTGACAAAACACAAATACCTCATCAGTTAAACTGCAATTACTTCGTGTGCTTGAGTATCGAGAAAAATAGCACATTCAATTCTTTGCCTTTAAAATTCAGCGAATTAAATTTAGACGAACGGCTCGAAAGTGGTAAATTGACATACGTTTTGTGTGCAACGCATAAATTTAGTGTTTAGTTTGAAGCGTAATGTCGCCAAAAACCAATTGGCGATTGGTTGCTGTTTCAGAAGTGGCCAAAAAGCAACTTCGTCGCACATTTCCATTACAACCAGGCGAAAATCGTGTGGGTCGCTCATCACAGCTCGAAATTCCAATTCCATCGTCAAAATGCAGCCGGCATCATTGCAGTTTGTTCGTTGAAAACAACAAAGTCAGACTCATTGACCATGTAAGTACTGTGTTAAATACATTTCAGTGGAAAAATATTCAATTAGAGCATAACAATTCAAAAATGTGTACACACAGTTAGTGTGGTAGTTTGTATATATGCACGGCATAAAAGCCGACGTCAGCTAATATTTAATCCAATTTCATGATTTGTTCTATATTTCAAACTGTCTTGAAAATTCATTCACATTCGATGTGAAATTCAATCATAGCCACCGAATGTTCGCTTGAAAGTTTAACATTTTATCATGTGTTGACACTCTGAAATCTAATGCGACATGCTTGACCGCAAATACACACACACAAAGACAACACCAACACAAACCACGTTCCCCGTTTCACCGTAGCGGCAGTGATTGTGTCTGCGTCTAAGCTAATGTTTATTCTGTTGCTTCCTTCTCTCTCTCTCTCTCTCTCTCTCTCTCTCTCTCTCTCTCTCTCTCTCTGTCGCTCTTCGACTAAATTGTATGCACATTTCTGAACGTCGCGCGCTTATTGAATCAGAGGAATAATATTTGTTTGTATTTGGATTTATGTATATTTCAGTCACGGAACGGAACGTATGTCAACGAAAGCAAGTTTGTGAAGCAAGAGGTTGATCGGCCGCTAGCGGAGCGTGATTTGATTTCGTTTGGTTTTGACATTTCGGGCGAATATGATTTGCACGATTCACTTGCTTTTATTTATGTGTTGTTCTGCGACCAAGGGGCCTGGATTGAAGTATGTGACAGCGACGGCGACGGCGGCGAGACCAAGGTTGTGAATAATGAAAATGTGAATCCATCACAAACCGAAGAAAAAGCCATAGTTTCGATCGCTTCAGACGATGATGGTGTTGATGGTACACAGAATGAAATTGTCGACCAAACAGCGTCATCAGAACAAAGTGAACAACTTTCAAATGGATTCGGTGAAATTCTTTTTCAAACAACAACCGTTCCACTCGATTCTCAGCAAACAAATGCGCCAGATGAAATCAACGACAACGAATCAAATGATGACACGTACGAATGCACTATATTAGATTCACCACCATTGAAAAGGCTTCGAACATTTGCCGAAATTGACGGAGCTCGTCAAAGACGCGAAAGAGAAATCTTCAACAGTTTGAAAAATCCATTCAATTCACAACCGATCAAAAGCAAAAAATCTCCGGAAATCATGGAATCACCACCAAAGCAACCAGAAATTTTGGAGCGGCCAGAACCGAAGCGATCACCAATCGAAGAAGTGACCAAAGGCAAAATAAAATGTATCATGAAGAGTCGCGGCCAAATGCTCAGTGCTGATATGTTGGCAGGCGTTAGCGCCACAAACAACAATCAACAAATTGCTTAATTCCTACACATTCCTTTTATACAGAGACTTGAAGACTATTTTTTTTTTTGCTTAGATTTATCACTAGAACTTTTTGAAAAATGGCAACGTTGTATCAGAACAGAAGAATTTCGGACCAATTTTGAAAATATATTATGAAATCAAAATGAAATTTTGCCAATTCTCATTCAAACTCAAACAAAACATATTTTTTTCTATTTAGATTAGATTTTTGATGGAACTTACTGCATTGCTACGAGGAGAATGGGCTTTGTTTTGGTTTCCTGTAAGTAGAAAAAAAGAAATAATAATGTATTCGAATACATGTGACAACTGACTGCGACAAATGGTAAGAAGTTAAAAAGAGTGGAATATTTATGGGCGGTGTGTACACTGTACACTGGCAGGCTATTTCCATTAAATGCACGTGTTACACATGCATTTGTATCGCATTTATTGCGTGTGGATGTGATTTCTAGGTGCCAATAAAAGAAATACAAAGCAAGCACTTTTATTTTATGGACTTTGGCAGTTATAGTGACGCGAGCTATTTTTTGCTCTCTCCCTCTCTCTTTCTCTGTTTTTATGTTCGGTGCGAGTTCAGTTCGACGTGAACAAATAATTTGACGCTGCTTTTTTTGCCGTTCCACTTTCAGTCTCTTTAAATTGTCGCTTATCGCTCTATGTTTTGAAATAGCTGGGTTTATTCTCTCGTGTTTTTGGATATAAAACAAGGCGCGTAGCTTGGGCTATTGGTTACCAATGGCAAAAAAAAACAATCATTTCAAACCTTTTTCAACATGATTGCATTTCACACAGTTGAATGTACATTTTTTTTCTTCTTTTCTTCTCTCTCTCTCTCACTCTCATCTTGGCAACTTCCATTTTATGCCCAAGACTTGTACATCAGGGCGGATAAAAACAAGTTTTATATCCTTCGATTCATAGCATATCTGACGATGAATTTTATGCTCATCAAATAATTTAGTTAATTGTTGTGGTTCCAATTGACGACACCATCGACCAAGAGTTATAATAATTATCGTTATTGTATCTCAGCTGTTCTCGTCTTTTAATTACATGGATTGGCGCCAGTTAGAAAAGAAGTTAACGCCAATTAATATTAACGTTTAACACGTACATTAGCCACTTTCAATCATGGATAATCCAATTTTGTGCGTATTCGTGGTATTATTTAGCAAGAAAATCGTCTTGTATTGGATTACTTGAAGCGAGTGTATGTGCGTATGTATATTCGCGTGCATGGATGCCTATCAGCTAAGCCGTTTCGATTAGATGCTGATAATTATGATGGAATTATGGTTCACTTCGTTGGAAGTTGGCTTTTGGCGGATGAAATTAAAATTGAGTGAATAATTGACCTTCAAATTTCAGTCGAACTCAAATACCATTCACGCCTTCGTATAATCTGCCACATATCGATGTCAAACTTTTTCACTCCGTATCACATCGTTTTACATAATTTTCCATGTAATTTAAATTTTTAATTGTTTTTTTTTTCTTTTCTTTCGAAAATGTTTGCCGGCAAATTCATTAGCGAGCACCAAACTTTTCCTTCCAGAGGAATCTTTTAATTTAAGGCAATTAAATTTACGTGAATTTGTATGACACGTCACAACCGCGACCCGAGAGTGTGTTTTAATGAGTTGGATAAAAAAAAAATTCCAAACATTATCATGTTCGTAATGTCAAAATAAAAAAAAAGTAAATGGGATCGTTGCAAATTTTCCATCCGGAAAAATTGTGATGGCAAAAGTTGTGGCAACGTAATGTAAAATTAGAATTCCAAAAATGTTCGGTAAAACGGTCGACGTCGCCTACACTTCCTTGCCACACATTGAAACACCAACACATCATGCATAATAAATGGCCGTAATCGAGTGTGCGTGTGTGCAACCATACGGACATACGTATGATAAGACCAACATTTCGACACTTTTCACCGCCGACAATTATCGAAAATCGTTCAACCAAATAATATTGAATAATTTACGCTCGACGCCCAAACATCATTAATTATTGCGTTGGCATACACACGCTTCGCGTGTAAGTGAATGTATGAATGTATGAACGTATGTGCTGGTGCAAGTGAGTAAACTTTCTTCTTTGTCATGTGTATTAGAGAACCTACTTGCAAGGCAAAATCTGTGTATAGCGCACATAGCGATTCGCACTTGCACCATCATGTTGCGCAACAGCCCGAAGGGCTTCAACGTTCTAATTACATTACTTATTTTATGATTTCAACGAAAGTTCCTACTTTGTTTGGTGTGGTGTGTGTATACGTACGGATTCAAGTTTTACAATATCTCGCGCTCAAGTTTACAAAGTGCCATTTATAAATTTAGGTCTGTTTGGCGCCGCGACCATTTTGCTGCTATTTAAACGCGAGCGCATTGTGTCTAAGCGTGAATCATCTATATAGCTTGGCAGACTCGTTTCCTATTCAGAACGTTTGGCTTTCATTAGATTGACATATATGAGTTCCGATACAGCCACAGCACAAGCAACTTTCTAGCACAAGGCACTGAAAATTTGTCATTGTCGGTTTGCGTTCAGTTCATCAGGAAGAGACTTGATGATAATGATGTCTCAATTTTGATTCGCTGCTCTTATTTCCACATTTTCTATTTACATAACTTTATGAAATATTTTATACGAAATGCGGTTATTTGATTCAAGAGCCTTATCATCCGCTTCCTCTCCTTCTCCTTCTCCTACTCCTCTCCATGGCTTCTTTTCCTTCAAAATTGATGGAATAAACGTAGACTACAACGCACAACGTGTCTCGAGACGATATCATCGAATGCGGTACCGTTACCTCAAATTCTAATCAAATTTTATGGGTTTATAATTAGATTTACGGAATATAAGTAAAGGTGAGACTCGGTAGGTATCTCTCGTCAGATATGAAATATGAAGATGTCTTTATCTCTCTTTTTACCTCTCTCTCTCTCTCACACTCTCCTTTCCTTCTGGGCTTGTTTCTTATTATAAGTCAGTCTACCTTTTGATAAGTGTGAATGAGTTTCACAGGAAGAAAAAAAAACGTTGATTAAATCTTCGACGATCTTAATCATAATATTCGCAAGCCACACACACACACACACACATACACACGGTCTGGAAGTTGAGTTTAGTAGCTTACATTACAAAAAAGTGAATGTACCACCGTTTTTCCACACACCTCACACAAATTTTGCTCATGCTGTGAATGTTTCGATTTCAAACTTATATCCATGATGTACACTCAATTCATTAGGATGCACATTGCACTGCATGAGGGCGGAGAGCGAGAGTTGAAGGCGTGAAAATATGGCAACAGAGACGTAACTGTGGAAAGGAATCTTGTTGTTCCAATACATGCACAACAAATGTGGAAGATGTATTCATATTGTGGTTATACATAGAATTTTGTTGTTCTTGCTATTTCCCCATACATTCCTACGTAAATGCCAAAATGATAAAACACCAGTAATTTCATTGCACATCACAAAACCCACCGAATAATTATGTCTGCAAATATTGTTGTAAACTGAATGTGCTCACTCCGTTTTACAGCACCTACAATTTCCAGGATGCAGGGCAGGTATCACACGTCAATTTACCGCAGACACTAAATCGTACACAACTTTGTGTTGTAAATTAAGTGAGAGATGGAGAGAGAAGCCATCTAGTACCGTGGTTGAAATCATACATGTGATCTGAGAGTAATATTCGGTTAATAAAGTTTCCAAATAATTATGATTATTTCGGAGCATTGTTGTTTTATAGTGTTTTCGATGTAAAGTGTTATCAGTTGGATATTCCGATGCTGCTTGCTAATTCTTTTTTGGCAGGTTTAGCTCTAGGTTTAGCTATGATTACATTGGTTTTATTCGAAACCTTAACCACTTTTTGAGAGACAAAAACTAACAACATCAACAATTGTTAACTTTAATTTGTTTTTTTTTTGTTTTTTTTTTACAACATCTGAATCTCGCATACTCATACCAGATTTTTCCTTTGTTCTTGCCTCGCATGCGGTTTGGATTATACATGTGCTAACAAAATATTATTATCGTCAATTCGAGAACCTTGTAAATAGTGATGAATAAAATCAGCGTTCCGTTTTACAGAATATTAAATACAAAGAAATTATACATATATATGATCTCTACGGGCAATGGCAGTGTTTTCTGTTGTTGAACTTGGTTGCGACGTATGGTTTTTGCGCATCCGGTTTTTGAAAATCTACATAATATAATGTAGCTCCATTGTGGATTGATTCAAAGTCCGTGTATCAAAGAAATGGGAAATTCGGCAATAACATATGCGGTACAAACGGTGAATGGAATGAATAGAACCGAGAGAACAATGGGACAAAGGAAATGATATCATTGAAATGAAAACAGTGAGCACTCTCGTGCACGAACATATACAAATCGCAGATTGGAAAGAAAAATACAATTTTTGTTTCTCTATTTTTCTCTATTATTACTCATATCGTGCACTATTATTACTTTATTGTTATTCTTTTTTATTAATGCTCTTCCTATTGGTTACTAAATCCATATTCCATCGTATTGAAATGACGTAGTATTGAATTTTTCGGGAAATTGAATTTTAATTGAAATTGTTCGAAACGAATTGAGGCTTGAATTGTTGCGAAAATATGTTCGAATGAAAGTAAATATTGCTATTTCAATGAGAATCATGCACCATAATTGAACGCTAGAATACGAGTTCATAGCAAATCCTATTAAAATGTAATCAAAATCAATACACAATGCTGCGCATTGCACACAGTACCTACAAATGAACACAGACAAAAAAAAAAATAACAAGCATCAATGAACCCATAAGCATATTTTTGAATTGGAGCCCATAATAGTTTGCACTTCAATGACGCAAATCACAAGCAATAGATAGGAGAGATACAAATAGCAAATTTATTTCATGAGATTAAATGTGCGTGTAACATTTTGCAGCAATCATTGGACTGTAATGGGCTCCCTTGATGTCCATATTTCGTGTGTTGTTGCTATTGTTATTATATCAATTGAGCCAAAACGACCGAATCACCCATGTCCCATGCTTTTTCGAGAGTGATGACTTAACTCATTCAACTCTCCATTTAACAATTTACCTCACAATCGGATTCATATTCAGAATTGACATTGGGTAATGTGAGTTTTTAGGCTGTAATTTAATTAAAATTTATTTCATTAATATCACAAACAAATATTCGCTCTCCATTTTAATAGTCAACTGATTCGTAAAT